TTTGAGGAACACTTCTCATTCGACTATTTGCTAAAATTTAGACACTCACTACTTTTGATGTGGTCTTGTCTATTGCTCTACTTTCTGTTCGCACATGTCCTCCAAATGTCTCAAACACCATAAAACAAATGTTTGCCCAGACGAATGAAAACATCGAAGATCTAACCCGATTATTTGCAAGTGCGTTGACGTTGGAAACGGTTCGTTATAAAGGCATCTTTTTAAAATTTCCTTTAATTTCTGTTGCATTTGTACAAGATTACGAGTGTCTGCATGGTAGATGGTGCACAAATTCCGTAGTAGATGCTAAAGTATAAAATTTTTTTGTAACTACCAAACACCGGTAGGTGGATTTACTGCAAAAATTCAAAGGAATTTATTTTGCTATTAAGTTTTCTAGTGTTGATGTCTTTATCAGCGAGTGCAAAGCATCTTTGTAAGGAGATTTCCATTTTACCTTTTCCTCGGTCTAACGCCTTCACCATCATACCATGCGGGTCACTCATTACGCCTGTCTCTTAGCTAGTTCTATCGATCGGTGCCGTCAGCAATCACCCGTCAGCGGAATTGATCCGGAGAGCCTAGATCGGCAATGAATCTAGTTAAGCTGAGTATGTAGTCGGAATCACAATATTAATTTTTTTTATCAATCCCACTGACGAGTGATTGCTGATGGCGCTGATCGATAGGACTAGCTGAGAGACAGACGAAATGAATGGCTCGAATGGTGTGGTGGTGAACGCATTATCCCCGGAAACGGTAATATCGTGTTCGTTCCCGACGGTAGACACCTGCAGTTCGGATCTGCAGGTATCTCAGCACCATTGCGGTTGTGTCGCACATAGTACCCTCTCGTGAAAGATTGAAGTAGGCAGTAAATAAAAAAATTTAATATTTTTCATTTTAGTTCTGTGAACTCAATATTTCCTCCATAATATCCATAGCCCAGCAGTGCTTATGGTCTACAAAGCAGACCTCTCAACAATTTGGAGCTAAACTCTTCAAAGCACTATTTCTATCGTTGCCAAGACGAAGAGAAGTGAGTTTTTGTTCAAGGGTAGTTTAAAAAATTCTAATATTATGTCTTCATCACAGAGGGATCTTCTGCCTTTTAGTATCGAGGCAACGTGGCGAAACCCTGCCTGCTGGGCAGAGAGTTAATCGTGTACCGAAAGCGAGATTATTCTTCGTGACGAAGATAGTTCCAACCAATGAATTTGTGTTTCTGCTTCGCCAATTTGGGGCATACCTTTCGGGTAACGAGGACGTATTCATGCATGAATGAGCTGGCGCGTTTTCGTTTATATGGATTATATTCTACGAGTGAATTCTGCCAAAAGCCTGCAATCCAACAAGTACGCTCCACATTTACTCTGGGAGAACTAGACAAGGTACTCTTGAGTACCCCATCATACGAATCCAGACCTGACCAAGCTATGCGTGGGTGTTAAATGTTAAACAGAGTAAGATGAGTGGCCCTCATTGCCCTAACCACGAAAGTGAACTTGATATGGCAGCGTTGAGTAGGCCGAGTACGGAGAAGGTACTAAAATCTCAGGGCCATTCCAGGCACTAAGGTTATTATCCGTGCCTGTAATGCGCGCTTATTTGCATCTGAATCCTCGATGAAGAAACTGATCATGCCGGCAAGAAAAATAGGATGACGTCGTAGGACTCGTAGGACTTCGTAGGACGAAAAGAGGACACCCATTCAACACCACCTATGTCATCCGAAAAGTGTTATTCCTCGAATCGTGTGACAACAGTGGAGTAGGTGATGTCGGCGTTCTCGTAAACACGAGTTTGGCTATAATCACAGATTCATTTGAACAACTAACAACCCAAATCAGACGTTTGCGATTGAAGAGATGTGGATTATTACCGGCTTTGACAGTTTTCGTCGTCTACGCACTGACATCAAGGTATGAAGAAGACGGAGTCGAATTGTAGCATTTGGACTGGAGAAGTTCCAATAAGAAGACCATATATTCTATAAGGTCATCAATCGAGATTTTAATGCTAGGATTGGACGCTGATAAAACGTCTGAAGAATACTATGGGACCCAAGGATTAGAATGGAACGAGCGAGCTGCCTCATCTTGTCACGACAACCAAGACCATTCATGTTAACTCGCAATTCTTGAAGCCCCGCTCAGAATACGGGAAGTGGGTATTTCCCGGTAAAGAGTGTCATAACGAAATAGACTACATTATAGTAAATCGAAGGTTCCGTTTAGTCGATATTGGTGTTATCCTAAAATTGAATTAATTAATTAAACAAAAAAAAATGCTCCAGAACTACCATAAACTGGGCTTTATTCAGCTTACTAGTCAGCTGGTGGAGGATGCCATTTTTGATAACATCAACAAGAAGTACAGTCGGCTAATTCACCACCTTAACGTTAAGGCTAGGAAACTGAAAGCTCGAAAGTCACGAAGGGACTTTTGTCGCCAGATACACATCATCTGATACACCTGATAAGCCATGGAACCGCATGAGCCACGGGCAACCGCCCACTGACGAGGAACCTTGCAAAACAATGCAGAAGCACGATAAAAGATCTTAAAAGGAGAAAATTAGCAGATATGGTCAAGCTGCAAGGTCTGTGAAAAGCATTGGCAAAGTACACCAAGACTTTGTCACTTACAAAACCAAGATGATTGCACTTCCATGTCCAGACGAAGCATTTACAGCTGGGCTCACTTTTCGTCCCTACCTCTAACTTCCATGAAACATTTTACAATTGTTCTCTCTCATCGTCGATGAATTAGATAGATTAGTCTTCATTCGTGATTAATCTATTTGCATACATTGGTCTTTCTTAACAAACTCTTCCGAGTAATAATTATTAGGAAAGTTTGAAGAGCACTGTACGAAGGATAGGCTGGCGTAAAGGAACGTTTCTGGAAATGAGAACTGTCGTAACCACAGTTTCGAAATCGTTAAATTCTGTGAATGCTACAGTTACGTATACCTGGATAAAGATGTCGATATAAAAAGCAGCACCAGAGGCTAGCGAAACCAAAGAGTAGTTTGCAAAAACTTACGAGAGCATTAAACACGCAGTGAGGAGAAAGAACAACGACAACCGTGCTTACTTTCTTGATCCAACAGTTCTTTATGTACCAATGTAATTCACCGTTAGGTAATCATAATGAAAGATTATTGGACTTGATCAGTGCCGAGGTTAATAGAAGGTCGTGGGAGATTATTCAATGTTCGAACGCACTACCAAGATGGTGATGGTAAAAGAACTTCGTACCTTGTAGAGAACGAAATCTATGTTTAGTACTAGTCCGACGATCAAAGTGACCCTACTCCAAGATGTCGAAATACAATCATCTGAACATACCAGTTAGTGGGTGAATACTGCGGGATGTCAAACGCACAACAGACCATAGAATCGATGGTCATACTTCACGAAAACCCCAACAGAAAATATGATATTTACTTTTTTATTTACTGCCTACTACAAGCAAATAGCAACTTCTTCCAACAGTTGTGTCCTACTTAGCAACTTTCTGCTTCCATCTAATCTCATTCTAATTTATTAAGTAGTTTTAGAATAGTATTAAAGTACCACTGTATATGTAATTTTTCTCCATCCTACAAACTAAAAACAGCCGACATGATAATGGTCTCACAAACTTACATTTGACTTTGCTGATTAGTTCACTCTGGCATTCGAACATGAGCAAGAACTTCTTGGTCCACAACTGATCTAGCATAATCTTGTCCACAGTTGAAGAAGGTTGCTCGTCGCAGAACACATTGAACAACTAAAATTGGCTTTGTAATCGAAGTCTTTTAGTACGATCAATCAGATTCCACTTCTATTGAAAGTTACCGTTGTTATACCATACATCGAATAATTTCCATCAAATTATAAAACTATACGCTTCTGAAATTTCATCGTTCGGTGTGTCGTATGCATCAGAGCCCTTCGTGTGCTAAGTAGAAAGGTCTACAGAATTAGAATATCAATACGTTAGTCTCCTCTAACGGTTCACCGCCTCATCGTTGTTGAGAGGTGTTCCTGGATGTCGGGATGCCAGGTACAGCGGGGTGATTCATCCACCCGGCATGCTCTTCCAAGTAGAGAAAGAGACCGACGTTCCCACCAGAAAGCCCAGCTAAGCGTAATCAGTACCAGGATCCACCACCGTCCTGGTATCAAACTAATCGCATGGTGGCAAATTTCCCTCTGATCCACAAGAGTTGCCTGTCTGTGGTGGTGACGACCTGGGACAGACTTTGGCTAGGGTAACCTCGGGACTCCAAAGAAACACAATGGCTAAACCAGCAAAACTCCGAAAAAATGGAGATTATGCTGAAGTCCGCACAACGAGTGAGGACGGGCCGTCCGAGCCGTTAGTCGCTCAAACAAGTTCTTGTGCTTGATGTAAAGAAAGAACAACCAATGTATATTTGTAAAAAAAACGTAGCAAGCGACTACCAAAAATACCTAATAGGAATATTTTATAACTTCTACAATACAATAGGTGAAATTTAAATACCGTCCGTATCCACTGAATTGTGCGAAACAAAACATCACAGGAGCTTTTCAAATCATTCTCAATTCCTTCCATGCCGATGTTTGCATCTATAAATAGAGTCCGAATAAAATTAAATATTTCAGCTAGTATGAAATGCTGAGATATTTGCAAAACTCCGGACCGCAGGTGTATGCAGTGGTAGCTGAGAGACAGGCAAGACGAAGGACCCGGATGGTGTGGTGGTGAAGTGCGCTGCTCTCCGGTAAGGACAACTGCGCGTGTTCGTTCCCCACTGCATACACCTGCGGTCCGGAGTTTTGCAAATATCTCAGCATTTCATACGAGTTATATTTCGCAACATACCATGCCATTAAGAAGAAAAAGGCAGTAAATAAAAAAAGGGTTAAGATTTCAGTTAGTATTAATACTATCCAGATTTGGTACAAATTATTATAAAATCTGAAGTTTAGTTCGAAATAAAGTCTATGCAAATATAAAAATAGCTCTTCTTCTATCAAAACCATAAATCTTCATGCAAACACAAATAACTGCAATGCCTTCGCAGGAAGTGCCGCCTTATCAAACTTTCATTAGTTTAGGATGGAGAGTAGCAAAATCATTTTGTGGCATAAAGAACAATCATAGCATTGCCTATATAAAGTAGGTCTTATGCAGTGTTCCATGAAGTAGGCTGAAAGAAGAAAAATATGTGGACTGAAATATATAGAAATAATATGGCATACGAACTTTAGCAAAAGTTTAGTCCGTTGATAATCCGATTAGCACTTTCACCATTACTGGGATATTAAATAATTACTTGCACACCCAGTATTGGTATAGAAAATTTCCTACGCTATTGTGGCCGTCAGTGTGAGTTGAGGTAGAAAAAAACCCGTCTAATACATTAATTTCCACACACCTAAGGCATAAAGTACGAGCGACCAGCGATCTCTTCGTGTCTTCTCGCTTGTATAATCACTCAGCCATGCCTCTTGCAATCCTATCGCTGCCTAAAATGACCGGCAGAAAATGACTTGCAACTTTATGTTCATGGAATTTTACAAACTTTAAGAATAAAGACAAAATAAAACAGTTAGTGGACGGTGGATAGAACCGTAAGGTAATTCTGCTTACGATTAATGGACTACTCCTGATTAAGAGATGAACCTGGATCCAAACAATTACGTACAGATGACAGGTCAGATATTTTGAATCGGAAGTCCACCCAAAGTTTACTTACGCGAAGATTCAACCCCGCTCAAGAAGAAAATCAGTCCCAAGGCAACGAATCTCCATTAGGTTTAGACAGTCGGGAGCTGCTTATGGCGACTATGTTTAACACCCGACATGGTGTTGACAGGAATTAAACCAAATGTTGTGCAACCATTAAAGTGTCAAAATAAGAGAAACTATGCTAGACTCTTGCTATATGCTATATTAAGATGGAACATCCAATCATGCAAGTAAGCAACGAAGCAGATAATAATAGCTACTGCACGGTTTACGCCGACGATAGGGCAGTGGTTAGTGGCGCCGTCGAATCAGGAAGCAAAAGGCTCTAATTCGATGCCCGCCCCACGCCCTTCTTCAATCCATGTAAGAATGCCATAGCCCGGTCAACCAGCATTCTACGACATTCATAAAGAAGCCGAAATCCTCAAAGAATAAGCGAAATGTTCAAAGACCATTGTGGATGCTGGGTGTGAGGAAAACGAATTGAATGGAATTCTGGAATCCAGAATCGAATGCTGGAATCCGCACATTAGACGGCTCATGCAAAATAAAAAGAAAATAGGGAAGCTTACCATCACGGCTTCAAGAAGAGGAATGGCTTCACCGAGGTTTCGACCTTCTGGACATTTTAACCATAAATTCGAACCAGTGCAGATGTATCTTTCACCCTCCAACTCTCTGAAAGAATAAGGAAGATGAACTTTCCAAACTTTAGAAAAGTAATAATCGTTAGAATCAATTAACTTCGGAATGCGAATGTTACACAAATTGAAACTAAGGCATAGGCACATAGAACGATAATTACCTAGTTGCTTCATATTCATCCGTAAAAAAGTCTGATTCAAACTCTTCGATGAACACTGTTAACCACTCATTCTAAACATACTTCTTTTCTAATAATTAAGAGGTCGTTCATAGTTGCAAAAAACACTTGCGACAAACCATCACGTCACATCTCGCACATCCGAAACAGCCACTTAGAATCTTCCCCAATTCACTGTAGAAAAACGGCCTTATGTACGTATATGAAGAACGAATTTCATCCAATAGCATCAGTGAGCAACGCACCTCTTCCTCTCTTGTGGAAGACCTATGCAACACAGATAAACGACACCAACGAGCAAGATTTCTAGGATTTGCCAAACTCCCAACAGCTATCCTAGCCTTGATTGAAAACAGTGAGAGTTGCAAGAGCGGTTCAAAACAGTCCCTTTATCATTAAATAATCAAATTCATAAAATCTCAATAAAAGATCAGTTTGAAGTAGAAGACTTTCTATAAAACAATAATAAGAGAGATTTTGCATCACGAGGCCTTGTGTCAAAACCGAGTTCTTTTTCTTCACTACGATAGATCCTCTTTAAAAAAAAACATTCAATTTTTGAGAAACATTTTTTAACGCACAAGTGAATTCAAAATTCAACCATAGCAACTTCAACTCTTATGTGTGATTAAAAGAAACCTGCTCATCTTCCTACCATGGCCCTCATCTACTGCTTGTAGTCTGTTTAATATAACCCGACATTTTTTGAAAGCTTCTGTTTCCACTCATTCTATACAATAATCATAACTTATCAAAGCGATTAGAAATAGAGGAACAATTACAATCCTCAACAGCAAGACCGAATGACAGGATTGGCGCCTTCAGGAATAATTCCAAAGGTTGACATTTAAATGAGTGCGCATGCGCTTCCTTCTACACATACCACAGGAGACCCAACTGCTCAATATAAACTAGTGGTGAACACTCTAGTAAGTTGGTCTGAACAGTAATATGAGGCCCCTGTCCACTTTCTTAAAAGGTTAGTTGCTGATCATCGTTTTTTCTGTCTCTCTCTTCCTTGTTTACCATTTTTCTAACCTGCCTCTACGTTGACATGACTAGTGTCGCACACTCCTTATTTGAAGTATTATCTTCTCTTCTTAACGATTTTAATAACCACAAGATTGCTGAGATATTTGCAAAACTCCGGACCGCAGGTGTCTGCGGTGGGAAATCACTTCAGCTTCACCTTAACTGGATTCATTGAGGATCTGGTCTCCCAAAATCAATCCCGTTGACGGGTGATTGCTGACGGTACAGATCGATAGAACTAGCTGAGAAACAGGCAAAACGAAGGACCCGCATGGTGTGGTGGTGAACGCGTTACTCCCCGGAAAGGACAATAGCGCGTTCGTTCCCCACCGCAGACACCTGCGGTTCGGAGCTTTGCAAATATCTCAGCAATCTTGTGGTTGTATTTCGCTTAATACCCTGCCATAAAAGTAATAGAAGGCAGAAAGTAAAAAGTAAACATTGTGATTTTAATAACGTTCTTCAATAATCATTGCAGATAGGTGTTATTAGTCAGTAAAACTTTATAGCTTCGCTATTAGCATCAGATGATGAGAGGAAACTCTGTATCAACCTAGCAAAGTTCTAGGCGGTAGCAAACTACAAAATCGTGGATACAGTTGACCAACTTGCATTTAATTCTTAGTATGTCGGGAGAAAACTAACTAATGGTAAGCAATTTCTCGCTGCTTCGTAGTTTATGTACTTACGTAATCTTACTCTCCATAGACATAATCGTACTCTGCATAGTTTGGGCACATACGGGTCTTTCTTCATTTAGTCCCCAAATGTGTTTGGTCAATGCGTGGACAGTCTGCTGGAGATATATTAAAATTTAATTCATTCATCTTTGACTCCCTGATATAGAAAGTCTACAATGGCATCCTTCACAAGACGTGTTTTGGAAAAGGTTGGGAAGAAACGGAGATATTATGTCGCCTACCACAAGCCAAGCACTCTAGATGTGCTTGAAGGAGTCCCAAGACAGTCAACTTGTAATATTTGTCAATTGAATGTAAACGTGCTAACTGTAGAGATTGCAGACCGTAAAGATTGTGAACAGTATGGTTTGAATGTGTCTAAAAGACGGGTTCAAAAAATGAAACAAAGAAATATGAGAAAAACGAGAACGGCACCTTGTTCAAACAATAAAAACCCTAAATCGTCCCATGCACTACCAGTGCATCTAGAAATATCTGATTTATTGAGAAACGAACTGCACGAACCATTCCAGCAATAATTCTGCCTCCAGCTTAATGAGTGATGCCAAAACTCCGAAAATCGGCTGCACATTGTCTGCCGAATGCAGTAGCAAAGGAATCATGGCATTCAAATTATTCTTAACAATTGACGATTGGAAAACGGATAGTTTTAAAAAATGTACAAAAATTAAATAAATTATGAGAACCAAAAGTGACTGCACAAAGTTCTTGTTACACCTTTTGCATGACCAATGAGGGTCTATTGTCATAGAGGCGGAATACTGCACGGAAGAACAGTTTGACGTTATCAGTGGTCATCCTGTGCAGAACGAAGAAATAGCCCTGAAAGCACCGTTTTAAGTAGTCTTAAAATTGAATCAAAATCACGATACAAAGCATTTAGGACGGGGAATTTGGAGTAAAAAAGGTAGCACGCGGAAGGCTAGCAAGATTTCTCACTGAAGAAAAAGAAACAAGAATACGTTGAACTAAGTGATAATTAGAAAGATTAAGGAGAACGTTTATTTTGACACCAACCGATATCAGTTCAGAAAAAGGTTCCACTGAATCCGAATTCTCATCGATTAGTGACGTGAACTCATTTAAAACTGCTTCACATTCACCTTCTGAATATACGGCATGTGACAGCATTGCCTTTAAGACGAGCTGCAATGAAATCTAATACCAACAGCATTATAAATAACATACAATATACACATAAATGCATGCGCATACTACATATATATATATATATATACATGAATATACGTAAACATATGCATGCATATATATGCGTAGTACAAACATATGTATACATAAATACATGTATATATATGCACACGTGTGTACATCTACTTATAGCGTGTGAACATACAAATTTATATATGCGCATACACATATGCACACATATGTATATATAGGTATATATACATACATATATATCACCTGTATTAGCTTTCACCTCATTAGTCGCGATATTGCCCACGGAGAATCTCTGTATACTAATAAAGTTACATTACTTATCCATAGCCTTCGCAACTGTTTTTCTCTTAATTAGGTCGGAAATTTCCCTTAGATCGAATAAAGTGCGAAAGAGAGCTGTCTTGTACTCCGACAATGTTATCAGACCAGTTATCGTGTGGATGTCGTCTATCGTACTGAATCCTTTTCGAGACACTGCTTGCCCACATGGATTATCTACAACTAGTCTTTTGATAATCCTGTGGAGGATGACTGGAGCGAAGAGTTTGTAGGCGAGATGTAGCAAGCAGACTGCGCGTTACTTCCCGATATCGTGGTCACCCTTCTTGAACAATAACATAATCTTGCTAGTCTTCTACTGAAAAGCAACCTTGCATTCTCATAGGTCACTTGTGAAGAGCGGAGCCAGAGTGGTGATGTATGGCAGAAGGTTCTTCAGATGTTCAGCTCTTATTTTATTTCAACCAGATGTTGTTCGAACCCCCGAAACAGAATATCGCATTTGGCAGGGTAAAATTAATGGGATGATATCTTCACCATCTCTTATTTCATACGAGAGCAGAAGGACGCGGCTATTGAAGAGATCCGATTAGTAATTGTGAATGATTTTGGCTACTGCCTCTCTAGAAGCTGTAACTGCTTCATCTGGACATGGAAGTGCAATCATCTTGGTTTTGTAAGTGACAAAGTCTTGGTGTACTTTGCCAATGCTTTTCACAGACCT